TAGAGTTTTGTAAACATCGCCAAATGTGATTGCGCCAAAACTGTCGTATACAACAGTTGTAAGCAAACAGTAGGGTCTATTTACACGTGAGCAGGTTGCATGCGATGGTTGTAAGGAAAAGTTGTACCATGTAAGTTGGCCTTTAATAAAAGGAATTTAAATAATTACCTTGTTGCCGTTTGTTTTCATAATGGTTGTCCATCCACCCCCACCACACCCAGGGATATCCTCCATGTAGCAATACATCTTGGTCACTGTTGGGTGTGTCTTGATGTAGTAAACGCCACTTTTGGCTGACCTTCACAAAAACATCATAGCAGTAACTTAGGAACCAAGCGATAACAATTGTATTAACGTTATTGTCATAAATTCACTTACTTTCGATCATTCTTGATAGCTTTGCATGATGAAGCAGGTTTCCCCTTCGAACCAAGACCCCCACGGCCGCGGTGACAGTTTCTTACGACGTAGCATCCTTTGATTATCACATCTCCTTTCAACGACACCCAGTGCTGCACGTGTTTGTAGTAGTTAGCGAACAGATCTCTCCTAGAATTAGATAATAATGCAAAATTGTGTGTTATGGAAAAGTCGATCGATTTTCCTTATCATGGATCTCTTATAAAAATATGATTATCTCAAATAGCAAAAACGTCATGCTCTGAGTCAATTGATTTTTACTTGCTGACTGGATTTCTAAGTCTTGTCGAGCATGCTCGAACTTCGTGGCAACCTTCAACTTGAAGCATCACTTGACCAACGATCAGCACTCTACAATCAATGCGAAATATTTTTGTTAACTATATTAGAAAAATAGAAATCTGCGTACAGGTTGTTGCTGGGGTAATCTTTTGATATATGCGGAAAATATAGATTAAAGAAAACACGTCAATCATTTTGGACTCCCTCGGCTACTTGTAGCTATCATTCATTTTCCTGGCTGTAAGATGCTAACTAATTTTTACTAAATGAATTATATAGGTAATTTTCATTTTAAATCTTGAGTGTTCGTCTAAATCGCGCTCTGATAAGCGCTCGATCGTGCTCGATCCAGCAAACGTACGCTTTAGGGAATTCAATCATAGTTTTCTAAA